CAGGGAGGTAGATGAGGTTGTTGATTGACTTGTAAAAGATAGTAGCAGCTGCCAGATGTCTCCTGCAGTCAATTGTCTCCCATCCAAGGGGCTCTCTCATTTGTGTTGTGCTGCTGTGTCTCGAATAATCCGCAGTGACGAACCTCAGGGAGCTACGCTGTACTGCTTCAAGAGATGCAATGTGTTGCTTTTCATAGAGGGACCATGCAGGAGTGACATTCTCGACCCCTGGTCTAACTAAGGAGTTATAGGCCTGTTCTTTGACCTAAGAGCTGCAGTGTTAAAGATTTCGGTATAGGAGCCCCAAGATTTTTGTCGCCTTTACCTTAACCTCTCTTACATGGCTGTCCCACCTGCAGGTCATCCTGTATAATTATGCCAAGATATTTGTGGCTGGAGATGTTCTCTAGTTTGTCTTTCTGGATGTAGTAGCGTGCTGGTTGGTCTACGGTGGAACGTGTAATGGTCATGATGTTGTATTTGGTTAGGTTGAAGTTCATTTGCCAGGTATTGGACCAAGTTGATAATCGATTAATGTCGGTTTGGAAAGATGAAATGTCATCTTGAGTAGATATTTCGAAGTACATTACTGCATCGTCTGCAAACAGTTTGATGTTGGAATTGATTTGGCACGTGATGTCATAAATGTAGACGAGGAACATCAGTGGGCCCAGTACTGTTCCTTGTGCTACTCCCGAGGAGACTTTTTCCCAGTCTGATCTTTCTTCCTGAAACTTGGACACACTGGCTCTGATTTATCAGGAAGTTTTTTATCCATCTGTGAGTTTTTCCACAGATACCATATTAATAGTTTAGTTTGTGGAGTAACCTGTTGTATGGATTGGTATTGAGGGCCTTCAAGAAGTCGAGTAAGAGAACATCAGTGCGTCTGCGCTTATCTAATGATGCGAACCAGTCGTCCAAGACCGATATGAGTTGTAATTCAGTTGAGAAGCCTTTGCGGAACCCGTTTTAATGAGGTGTCATGATGTTGTTGACTTGACATTTGACTATACAACTATACCACTTAGTATTTGTTGAGCCCACATGCATCTTATCGCACACTGGGTTAAATTTTTGTGATGTGTAGGTGCTGGTGCAGATCGAGGTGAAGGTATAAAGATTAGGGTTCAAGTAATAGGACCATCAGTCACACCTCCACACTGCAAATGAAATGTTCCTCTGTCTCAGGTGGTGCACAATGCACGTATACACAAGCCTTTGTTCATATGAGATGTAAGGGTAAATAAAGTTGCTCATACTCATAATTATGATGAATTACGTCTGGAACGCAGACTACTATTTTCCTTACTAGAATTATGCTTGAGTAGCTTTAACTGCAAATACCCTGACACCTTCAAGCAACCCATCAAGGGGTGGTAATGTAGCTTCGATTAAGGTACATACAGGTCAAAATTAATTAATATAAAGTATGTTAACCTGGGTTGATTCTTAATTCTTTTGTCACCCGCCTTTTAAGCAGAATAGATTAGGGCAAGAAGACAAAGGAAATTGAGAATTAACCCATTTAAAGTGAAATTAATTTTGACCGTTAACATACCCTCTTCGTAAATAAATTTAAATAGTACCCACTGCTTTAAATAGTATCTGGGTATCTCCATATTCCCTTTAATATGCAGTTAGTACAGCATGTAATCAGTAAAGCATGTAACTTATGTTTATTTGTCGTAAGATAGAAAAGCGTATAAAAGGAGTGACTGGGTATCCATGTTATCAGCTCTTTTAGGGATACATCTTGGAGGAGGCAGAATATTCTGCAGAGTTTACACAATTAAGTTACTCTTCACCCTAAAGAAGGTTAAAAAAAATTTTGTTCTTTCTGCCAAAATGGTGTTCTCCATAGTAAAGACACACAACTTTATTTTGTTCAAATTATAGACCACTCTTGTGTGTAGAGATAGGCTGTGGCTCTGGTGCGCTGATAACATTTTTGGCCTCCATACTTGGACCATTATCCTACTACATGTGAGTCAAGGTGCATTTTATAGTTCTCCATGTTTGTGTCTACTCTTCCTTGTCTTTCACTGACCTGCAGCAGGAGTAAATAGCTTATAAAAATTCATAATAGAAGGAAGGTGGGAGATATATGTGCAAGGTTCTTATTAAGTGCTGGCAACCAGCTAAAATACTGGCTACTATGAGGTCTAAGAAGTCTACTTTTTTGGAAAAATGGGTATGAAGTGAGGGAGTGAAAGCCTCCAATTTTGAATCGTTTACAACACTTGATTGCCAATCCGCCTACTTTTACATCCTACTTGTCCACTTTAAAACTTAATGAGAACCCTGTATGTGAGAATGTGATCTCACACACCTTCGCATGTGCACAGTCATCTCCCTTCACTCTGATTCTTTGACGGTTGTCCAAATAAATGCCATTCTGTTTCCCCGCAGTCATTTGTTATCACTTTTTAAAGTTTAATATCCTAAGCATAGTCATTTGTTTCATTTGTCAGTTTTTGATTGCAAGTAGTTTATACAGACTGTAGTTTCTAAGTATCTTCCAATATAATTTGTTAAAAAAGGTATTTTACCTTGTGCAATGCTAAGACATCAACAATCACCTGTATGATCTAATTATTCCACTCACACATGAACCCATGCCTAAATAGCATCCTGTTACATGTCCAAGACTTTTAAAAGATCAGAGGAACGTGATGATGTTACATCATTCTGTGATTCAAAGAACAAGATATTATAATATATTTTGATTATAATTAGCTTTTTTCTATTTGCTCAGTGCTACGGATATCAACCCAATTGCTGCTCAGTGTACTTTACAAACAGCTAAGGAGAATAGCGTAAACATTTGCTCTGTTGTCACTGACTTGGTAAGCCAGTTAATCCTTTCACTGCCAATAGTGACCAAAGTGAAAAATTCACAAAAATAAAATTTGATTTTTAGTCTCGCTTGCCTTAGCTGGAAGACTCTAAAAATGCGAATGTTTCTTTCCAATGTGTCACAGTGCCATGCTTTATTTTGTGAAGAAAGCTTAGGAAAGATTGATGTGAAAGATGTTGAGCTTTTCTGGAATGAGTTGGTCCATGAATTCTATTGCTTGAAAGCACTGATTTGTTTGGAACAAGTGAATACTTCAGTGAAAACTGGTGAGCACCATGTAAAAGTACTGCGCAAGAGGTTTCATTTGAATGGTAGCAGTTTTGTCACTAGACAGGTTTCAAAGTTAAAGTGACAAATAATCTTGCCATAATGTTGTCTAAGACAAAAAAAAGTTTAAAATTTTCAATCTTTTCATTACCTCTAATATGTGTTAACAATGCACTCTGCACTCCCTTTAAATTAAATTTTTTTCACATGTTTGGTATTTGCCTCTCCAGGTAGAATGTCTTGTTCCACAAATTCTTGGAAAAGTTGATGTATTAATATTTAACCCGCCATATGTTGTCACACCATCTGAGGAGGTATGACAAGGTCTCTATTTGTTAACTTTTTGTTTTAAAATTATTGCATTATTTAAAGTTTGTATTTCATTATTTTTGACTTGTTAGGTTGGAAGTCATGGTATTGAAGCATCTTGGGCTGGAGGGAAAGATGGAAGAGAGGTAAAGATGGACAAGATAAAAAATCATTTGTAAAAATACAGTACATGAAACACATCCGTGATAAAAAGCGCCAGTCGGGGGTCTAGAAGGGTCGAAACCTCTTGCCTTTTTTACCTTGACTCCCGCGTGACTAGGTGAACTTGGGTTACTGGGGTAACTAAGGTGACTAGGGTAACTAGAGGGACTTGGTTGACAAGGGTGATTAGGGTGAATTGGGTGACTACATGTAGGTTGACTAGGGTAACTTGGGTAACTTGAGTGACTTGGGTGCTTAGGGTGACTAGAGTGACAAAGGTGACTGGGGTGAGTAGGGTGAGTAGGGTGAGTAGGGTGACTTGGTTAACTAGAGTGACTAAGCTGATAAGGGTGACTTGGGTGACTAGGGTGACTAGAATGACTTGGGTGACCGGGGTGACTTGGGGTAGTAGGGTGACTAGATTGACTTGGGTGACCGGGGTGACTTGGGGTAGTAGGGTGACTAGATTGACTTGGGTGACCGGGGTGACTTGGGGTAGTAGGGTGACTAGAATGACTTGGGTGACCGGGGTGACTTGGGGTAGTAGGGTGACTAGATTGACTTGGGTGACTTGGGTGACTACTGACTGAGGTGACTTGGGTGACTAGGGTAACTGGGGTGATTTGGGTGACTTGTGCGACTAGGGTTACTTGGGTGACTAGGATAACCAGGGTGACTGCAGTGACTTGATTGACCAGGGTGACTGGGGTAACTGACTAGGGTGACTATAATGACTGAAGGTGACTAAAGTGACTAGGGTGACTTGCGTGACTATGATGACTTGGGCGACTTGCATGACTAGGGTGACTTCTGTGACTTGGGTGACTTGGGTGACTGTGGTGACAACTTGGGTGATTATGATGACCAGAGTGACCAGGGTGACTGTGGTGACTAGGGTGACTGCAGTGACTGCAGTGACTAGAATGACTAGGGTGACCTGGGTCCGACCTGGGTGATTATGATGTCTAGAGTGACCAGGGTAACTGTGGTGACTAGGTTGACTGAAGTGACTGCAGTGACTAGAATGACTAGGGTGACCTGGGTGACTGCAGTGACTAGAATGACTAGGGTGACCTGGGTGATTTTGATGACTAGAGTGACTAGGGTGATCTAGGTGACCGTGTTATCCCCTACTCTCTAGGTTCCTTTAAAATTAAAAGTGTGTTGAAGATAGGCTTTGATGTGGGAATTTGAGGGGATTTAATTAATGGTGAGGATGATATTTAAGTGTTTCATTCTTTTTAAAACAAGCAAGAAATCTATACACTTATTATGGTGGTCAATTGTATAGACTCGCCCTATTTTGTTTTGCCTTAGGTTATAGATCGTCTGCTTCCACTTGTCTCCACACTTCTGTCCAACTTTGGTTGTTTCTATCTGGTGACTGTAGCTGAGAATAAACCAGGTATATACTGTGTTCGGTTGATTAGAACATGGATCGTTGTTTATAAATTATTATTTACGCTGAAATTGGCGAAGGCGCCATAATATTATAGCACCCATATTACTCGGCGCCCATTGCTAACCCTTTCCTTTTCTACCCATTTGTTATAGGTCATTGTTATTTCTTTTCTTGGAAACTTTTTTTAAAGTGACTTTTTTTTTTTCGAAAATAGTTGCTCTTGATATGGCAAAAAAATCTCGTTTCTGGAAATTATATTTTGCGCAGGTCTTGGGTTACAGCTCTTAGGTCAGTGGTAAACAGGTTGGCAGCCTGCGAGTTCTCTTCTCCCGTCCCCCTCTTTTTTTTCCGTTACTGCGCGTCGGCGATAAATAATTTCTAATTTCACGTTTTATGGAGGACGTAAACGCAACGCGACGATGTTCTCTCTATCTCTAGAAAAAATGACTCAACAGAAAAGATTGAAAAGACACATGATGAACAACACCCACACCACAACATAGCCTGTGAGCAGGCTCTCTGGGGCGCTCTGGCTGCGGGGCGGGGAAAGGAAGGAGAGCTTGCAACTACGTCTTTGGACTTTGAATTCCATCTCCATTTCCCTTGTAGCTTCCTGTAGACTGAGCTGTCAGATTCCCGCCGATCAGCGTGAAGCGGAAATGATCGCGAATGTAGACAAGCATTGTAAAACACGTGTTAAGGGTAATGACGTCATTACTAAAGTCCGAGTCTTTGCCAATCAGCATTTCGCATCGACTTTTTCGATGCAGATATTCAAATTCCAGAGACGCACAGTAGTTGCAAGCTCTCCTTCCTTTCCCCGCCCTGCTGCCGGAGTGCCCCGGAGAGCTTGCTCGCAGGCTAATCACAACGCAAAAGAGGACCAACAATGGTTTATGCAACACCAAGAAAAATCCCAAATTTCTTTTTAAAGTGACTTCTCGGTGCCATTGCCATCGTGGTGGCTTAGGTAATTAAATGATGATGATGATGATGATCTGTAAACCTTTCTTTTATTTTCAGTTGAGATCATTAAGTTATTAAAATCCTATGGATTACACGGTGAAGTTTCCTTGACAAGAAAGGCTGGAAGGGAAAGACTCTCGATTCTCAAATTTACAAAGCAGACGGGAGGGAGTTCTTTGAGATAACAGGTGATAATTCTTTTCACGTAAAATGTATTGTTTGTTTCAAAGATACAGAACACCTAGGGGGCTACTCATTTGATTTGTTTACAAGACACCGAACTGAAATTTCGTTCCGTAGAAGCCATTCCGGAATGAGTTCATTCCGGTTTTTAATCCGAATGAAAGTCTCGTTTTGGTACGAAATTTCATTCTGGTATTTTGTAAACATAAAACGAACTGGATTGAAAATCGCATTTATCGTGTAGTCTGGGGCGATTGGCCAATGCCTATCTGATGAGATCTGGCACGTCGTGCTGCGTGGGAAATTTGATTCAACCAATCAGAAGCACAACCTAGATCTAGGTAGGGTAGGGAGACCAGCGGTGGCATCGCGAAATGCGGCTGTTTTCTCACTGTTTTCTCAGGTTAAAGTGCATTTTGTTACATTTCTTAACCGTCCCTGTACAACTACGACGACAAATTTCTTACTTTCGCATTAGATGTAGGACACTAAAAAGAAAAAGACGAATTTCTCGTTTTCTTTTTAGACCTTGGCTGCGTGCAATGTAAGAATTCAACTTCAGGAAAATTTCGCCCACATTTGACAGCTTCAGCTATTTGTGATATTATTGCGATGATTTGAAAATTCACTTGATAAGTTTGCGTAACCTGTCGCCATCTTGACATCCCAAACTTCCTAATCACGTGACGGCTAATAAGTTTCTATACAAATGAGCCATTCAGGTATTTATACGAACGTACAATTTTGTACAAAACAATTCAAAGTTCCTTGAGTATGATATTAAAGATAAACTGACGTGGGAGCGATGTTTTGAAACATATGTTCATACATAAATGTATGTCATTGTAATTACGAATTTCAGGGAGGAAACACATATCATAGTCTCATGCATTAATCAAAATGAAATACTATGCTAGAACGAGAATGGACAGAAAAAATTTGTGACTCGTCCTGGCTCTTAATCTTGTAGTAGCATAAAATTTCACTGAAGAAAGATCGATCGAGGCTACAGCGGTTGTTGAACAGTAGAATTTAGCCATATAAGCAAGTGGGAAACGTGGGTTTTGACCATATTGTGCAGAAGATTGCCTGTCTAAATTTGGATGAACGTTGGCTAAATGGTGCTTTCGGGATTAATGCACGATATAACAGTTTGTCCATCCGGAATTGAAAATTTGATTAATTCAGTATTATAAAGGAAATGAAAACTTTTTATTTATTTTTTTTAAGGGTGCAGTTGATAGGGGACACCAAGAGAGAACTAACGACATAAACAAGCATTTCCGTAATAAAAAATTGTTAAAAAACTAGGTTATATGTACATTTTTTAAATCCTTCATTGGAAATGTAGAAGGACAAACTATATGAATTATTTACATCCTCCTAGCACTAGAATTGTCAAAACCAAATATGGTACTTAATTCTTTAGTGCAGTGGCTATGCCATGGATATATATGTACGTATATGTCGGTCGTTCGACTGTCCTGATATTTCTCTTTCTGCAGTTCTTAGATTTCTGGAAAGCTTTGACCGAATTGCAGGCCCTAAGCATTTTATGGAATACAAAACAACTTATGGGGATTTTCTTTTTCTTTCTTTTTTTTCTTTTTCTTTCTTTCTCTTTTTTTTAAAATGAATACTACGTGCTTACGTACTACGTATTTTTTAATATTCTAATATGAATACTACGTGATCTTAAACTCAATGTGTTCGTTTCCTTTTCATTTGTTTGACTCTTTGGGTTTGTAGCGTCAATAGGAAGTTTAAAGCACTGAACTGTTTACCCAGATGTTTTCTCAGACTTTTGAAGGCAAATTTTACTGGAGAGGTCATGATCACACCCCATGCCCGTTTTGGTTTCTTTACATGCAGCAGCCTTTTTTTCTTCAGTTCTTTAAAAAAAGAAATGGGACAGTTTTACTGGTTTTCGTAATTGTCCTGCTTTGAATTAATATCCACGAATAAGTATTCTGTCAAGCATTTGCCCTCGTAACATTGTGGATTAAGTCTTCGTTGGCGTTCGTCGTGTCACTGGTGCCCGTAGTCAAATACGGAATATCAATATCTAATTTGTGACTACGGATACTTTCTATTAAAACTTCGCTGAAAATTAACTGGTCGTATCTCTTTTAGTCCTTTTTTGCGTGCACGTGATATTAAGGTATGTATTTTCCTTGGTGTGTTCTTTTATTTTCTTCACTGCCGTAGTTTTATTGTTAAAAAGGTTTGATTTTCACTCCTAAGGTATAAAACTTAGCTATCGTAAAAAGGAATTTTTTCCAGTAGTGATTGAAACAATAATTATAAACTTCATTCCAAAATAACTCGAAAACCTTCTCATAGGTTTTGCTCAAACTTAAGGAATATTGAGGCGGCTATGAAAGGAACAGGCTCCGACCTATGAACGGTTTTGGGAAAAAATCTCGCAGTGCCGAGAAATACGATTTAAGGTAAAATAGGTAATGACGACGTTACGTTGCTGTGAAAATAACCGATGTCGATATAACGCTGATCGTAACAAATTTCCTCTTTGTTTAACACAGCTTTAGTAGTCGTTTCCCTAAATTTTTGTTATTGGCGACATAGTTTATCCTTAAGCTAGGGAGGTACTGCCCCTGAAAAATTCAAGGCATTCAAAGTTTTGATTTTCTTGAAGTATTTTTTATTATTTGAGAAGTTACATTATACACTCAACAAAGTGTTAATTCTTTCGATTTCCAGAAATCTCGAAGTAGTTTTAATGACGGTTTATGAGCTATACTATACAGATGCAAACTCTGTACCCCGGTCAAATCCATAGATCGTTTCCACATGACGTCATGGCGGCCATATTGGTGTACAAACCAATGAAGCGGCGGCCATGTTGATGTACCAAAACATCCAGTGGGGATTGAACCCTTTTCTAATGTAAAAACTTTTCTTTTATTTCGAGAAATTTGCAAAGGCACTGATCACTTGCGTGAAAACGATCTGTAGGTAAAGTGTCAATCATTTTTATGTTACACTTCTTCAGAACTTCAACAAAATGTTGGAAGGCCAAGATGATCAGTCGTGTCTTGTTCCAGGGATTTCCGTATCATTTCAGAAGCGTTACTTCTACTATATAAACAAGCTTTCGCCAATCACGCTGCTGTTGAGCATTTGGTGTTTTGTATCGAATGCAGCCGTCATCATAGCGTTATTGAGAAGTGGAATCAAGTACATTCGTCCAGGCCTGTTAATGCTATGCAGTCTCTCTTTCACCGATCTTTTTCGGAGTGCAGTTGTTAGTTTGACGATTTGCGTTTTCAGATTGAAGCACCTTCTAAATAGTCAAGTTTGCCAAGTATACTCGGAAATGGAGACGATGCCACTGTCAAGTGCTTTTGTGATTAATTTCATTTGTACTATCCTAAACCTAACAATTATTAGCATTGATCGATACCTAGCTGTCAAACGCTTTTCTCAATACAAGTTCCTGGTCACCTGGCGTCGGGCCCTCGTCGCTTGTGCAGCAGTTTGGGTGCTGTCCTTTACAGCCGGGATTGTTACGGAACTATCTGGTAGAGAATCAAAGCTTACAAATGTCCTGTTACCTGCAATTTCCATCCCTTCAGCAGCAATCATCACCATTCTTCAAGTCATGACAATTCGTCTCCTTCGTCGCCACAACAGGGCTCTTGCTGGCATGATGGAGGAAAGTAATGAAACAAACCCTGTTGACACTGTGAATGCCGCCATTGAACGCAGACTGAGCAAAATAACAACATACGTCGTGGGTGTATTGGCATCGATCTTCATTCCTTGTGGTGTTATCAATTTCATAACAGTCGTTTCAAAAACAAATTATACAGAGCTTCTGGGTCCTGTTCTTATTCCTCTATTGATTTTGTGGTCAATTATAAATCCGGTGTTGTATTATCGTGGAAACGAAAATGTGAAGCAAGGAATACTTGGGCTAATTAAACTTATTAAATGTAAGCAAGCAGTTGTTAGTTAGATTACTTCCTGTTTTTAACTCCAGAAGTAAGAGTATGAGATCTGATGTAACATACGGAAATGAGGGCAGAGTTGCTTATTGAAAAAGTCAGCAGTCAGTCAATCAATCAATCAGTCGTTCAATCAGTTGGTTCATTGATCTGTATAGTCGGTATAGTCGGAGATTTTTGCGGTTAATCAACCGATGACGTCAAAAGTCCAGCTTGCTTGCATGTTAATGCATCATTAGCCGAGAAGACCTGGGGACGAGGTTGAGTTGTTTTGGTTGTGAAACAAAAATGACCGATATTTCACTCTTTTCAAGAGTAAGAACTAGCCGAAATAATAGCTAAAAATATGGCAAGAACAGCAAGGAGACAAGTCGAAGGGCGACATCTACTATTTGGAGAATATTTGCGGAGCTGAACAACCCTAAACGTGCACTAGCATGTTTTAGCTATGTTTTTAAAGTAGGAACTATTTTGAATGACTAATAAAACAATGATTGAATTCGGCTTTCGTATCATATGAAGAATTATGGAGATCTCGGAGGGTGTTATCCGCCTTCTCCTACGGCCTCCTCCTCGATCTCCATAATTCTTGATAAGATACTCAGCCTCATTCATTAATTGTTAAATAATTTATTAATTTGCTATAGCGCTTTTGACCGTGTTGCACGTAGTCACGTTTTTGTTTTAATAAAGTTAACAGGATTTTTATGTGAAACTGTGAAAAAAGTAGGTTGTGTTTGATCGTCCGGGTTTATGTTACAGACGAAACTTTTGCGTCCTTAACGCATGTTTCCTGGTTTAGCCGTCTTAAAGAATGGTTAAAAAGGAAAAATCAATGAGTTTAGATCCGGATGAGGATTATCTCAGTTTTTATCGTTGTACCCACACTACAGGAACGGTGACATGCCATTTGCGCAGTACCGTCTAATTGGAGGTTTCATCAGTACCTTTGAAGCCCAATGATTCTGATCCGGATTGTCCGAAAGAAAGCGGCCTTAATAAACAAAACAACAATTCTGTACGTTCATGACACGTTTGGTTCTTTTTTTTTTACCGTCTCAAATTTCGCCATTCAAGAAGCATACGAAACACACAAGGACGAAATTTTCTTTCTCTTTTTTGACTTGGATACTTTTTTATAGTGCCACCTTCAGGGCATTTCGACTAGATTTGACGACTTCAATTCAGATGGCTGAGATGAAAATAATTGCGATGAAATTTGAAAAGAACGCCAAGTTTACTTGGTAGGTTTTTGCTCCCTGTCGCCATCGTGATTTGTCTAGTTACCTGATCTCGTGACGGGTAATGAGTTCTGTGCAAATCATCCATTCACGCGCTTTTCATATTAAAAAGAATGCAAAGAATAAATCAAAATTCCTTAATTATAATATTAAAGACATTGCCGAACGAGGGATACTTCCTGTGAATATGGTCATACATATATGTATCTCGTTGGGGTTGCAAGGAAAAACATGTTACAAATTCTCGTGGTGGGGTGGAAATGAAAATGTGATTGAACGATCTTCTGCAGACCTCGTTTCCTTAAACCATGCGCCTATAACACAAAAATTCGCTTTAATAAGCAAGATGGATTGAAAAATAGGTTGTCTTATACGTGAGCAAATTGAATTCTTCCCTGGTGAGTCAGAGGCTTTATATTGTTATTGTTATCGAGGCTACTGCGGTTTTTAATCATTAGAATTGAGCTGATTAAGTCAGTACTAGGTAACGTGGTTTTTGACCAAAAGCGAGGACAATTTCGGGTTTAAATATGGATCCGATGACAGTTTGGCTATATAGAATTGTAAGGCACACGCAAAGATAGTTGATATTTGTCCATAAGGAATTGAAAGTTTTATAATTATATTCCTGTATTCGTAACTGCTTTGCTTACTAAATACTGCGTGATCGCAAGCCAGTCTTTTCCGTTTATTTTTATTTTTGTTTTGACTCTGAGTTTCTGAAACGTATATCCAAACAAAAATCATTGTTGCATTCTTACGTTTTGAAGGCAATTTTAGCTAATTTTCTTTCCCCTGTAGTGTTTCGTTTACGTACAACAGCTGTTTGCATATGTTGCTGTTTTTAAATGGAACAGTGTTTCTAGTTTACATAAATGCTTTTTTGATTTTATCACGAATTAGTAGTCTGTCAAGAATTTCCCCTGGTGACAATTTGTGCTAATTTTTCTTCCGCGGTCGTCACACTGCTGGTGACACATAGTCCTAGCACGGAATAGCGACTGGTCATTCTGTCCTGCTCGTGGTTACGGTAACTCTCTACAAAAACTGCATTTTAAAAAAAAAATAGGTGGCTGCTTCTATTTGCGCGAACGTGACAAAAATATTGGCCTCTTAAAACATCATGTAATTAAGGTACGAATTTTTTTTCTTTCTCTGTTATTTAATTTTCTCAACTAAGACAATTTTAACCGTTAAAAAAGGTCTAACTTACGCTTGACTTTCACGCGAAAGGTATACAACTGAACTTTGTAAAATAGTTTTACTGAAACAAATAACAGCCTCGTATGTTATGTTGGTTACAAAATTTTCGTATGTCGGAATAATTCAACAGGACAAATTGGATGTTCCCAAATTTATATTATCCTCTTTTCTAGTTAGAAAAAAAAAAGTTAAAGGTGAAAATTGGGGTTCTCCTATAGTATTTTTTCACTATATCGTCTTTGCGCTGTGGTTTGTCGCTTGAATTTAGTCCCTCGATGAATGCGACGGAAAAAACGTATATTTCACATGTTAGTAAAACGTAATTTTTCTTGCAGCATTTTGTTGTCTAGCTACCGGTGTTTATTTTTCGTCGTGTTTTAAAAAATGTGCAACCTATTTTTATGGTTTTAGCATTCAGTTTTACTTCCACCCGGAGGCCATGAAAAACGTATATTAAGCGAGAAGAATGAAATGTAATTTTCAAGCTGTTGCTGGGACACCAAGACGAGAAAACTTTCAATTGTATCTTACCGAATGGTTAAATTTATACCCTTTTTTATCTTCTTTCACACAATCTATGGTCGTGCTATTGCTTAACCAGCCAAGCTACGTAAACGCTAGAATAAATGCGCACTATATTCAGCGGAATATTTCATTCGTTCTACGCTCCTACAGTATTTGATTTGATAATAATAGTATTACGATGTATTGCGTTTATCGCTGATAATATTTGATAGTACGAGTGGTGGTCCACAGTTTTACTCTCGCTGTTGTTTTATTTTGTTTACCGTTTCATATCCCAGCAAATGAACCTTTGTCTTCCCCATGGTCTTTTCTATTTTAATTAACGCCAGTTTAAACAAAATTTATAAGTTTGCAAACAAACTGGCACCAAACTGAGCTAAATGTATTATTTTAAAATTAACAGCTTGTTGCCTCGTCTTAAGTCATAAAAAATTAACACTGAAGCCACATACAAAATTTACGTGTGTAAACCTGGAGCGTGGAATATAAATGACGTGAAAGACTTTTGTCCGCCGGAGGCTATTATTGTCTACGAAGGGATAACTAAGCCGCGGAAATAGCACGTCTTTTTCGCCAATGAAGCTTTTTTGTTTTACGAACCAGTTTAAAACGTAAGACCGATAAAAACACAGACAATATCAAGGTTAAACCTGCGTTAGAAAAGAGAACACTGAAAAACTATTAATACGTCAAAACTATCATGATAAATTACTTGTTTGGGCAAAAAACTTACGTTGTATTTCTTTACGAAGGAAAAAAATTGAAAAAAGAAAAAGATTGATTAAAATTAAAGAAGGAAAGAAGCTGAGAAAGCTTTTCGTGCGTAAAGAAAGCTTAAAAGGAGAAACATCGGATTTACGTGTGTACGGAAAAGATTAATTGGCTGTCAATTAGAAGTAAAATTAAAGTCTTGCTCAATTTCAGGTGTTTGAGAATGGTAAGAAACACTTTTGCGCGTTGAGGAAGACGATTAATTTGAATACACACAACAACCTTGCACGTACTGGGGAAACGTTTTATAAAAGATATGCTTTTGCGCGTATATTTAAAGGATATTTTGACATTTATTAGCAAACAAAGTTAACCATCTCTCGAAAAAAATGTTGATAATCTCTCGAGAAATTGGGACCAGTAGTATGTAATAAAGGAGACAGGCTGTAACCAGTTCAAGTTTATATTAAAAACTGTACAGCCTCCGATACCCAAGGGAAACCACTTAAACCTATTAATATGGCAGAATGCATTGCAGGCAAATAATCTTGTTTATTGTTAAAAATCATGACCGAGCGCGAAGCCAGGGGTTGTTATTTATAAGAAGGCCGAGGAGAGAGGGCATTCTCCGAATTAATGCACTTTTCCATTGCTTTCAACCAGCAGGTCATTATTGTGGCCACTGAAGTGGAACAGTAGGTTATTCATTCATTCATTCATTCATTCATTCATTCATTTTGCCATTAACCAGAAATATAACAACAGTATACAGAAATACATTAACGATAATATGCATCCTACTGATGAACAGTTGCGACACGTAGATATATAGAGGATATTACACGGTGGTGCGAAGATATGAATTTTATTTTCGAGAGGCAAAACAGTATTTTACGAACGAGGGCAGCGAGTGAGTAAAATATTGTTTTTGCCACGAGAAAATAAAATTCATATCTTCAAGCCACCGTGTAATGTTCTTTTTATTATATAGACAAAAAGACATCGATGAAATAATAGAGGGAAATGACCAAAATTACGTCATCGATAAACTCACGTGTGAGATTATGGAAAATAAACCACTCGGGTCCCGGATGTTGTTTTTATGAATTTTACGAGTGGTATATTTTCCAGTAAAACACTCGTGTCTATATAATAAATAAATATATTTTTAGCAACTAATATAATTTGCAGTCTGTCTACTTTGAATACAATATTCCAACTAAATTATTTACAAGATCAAATGTGGTTAAGGCAAGAAAGCCTATATAGAAGCCGGGGGCTTATGAAACTATAGGGTAAACCATACAAGTTAACTAAGGGTACTGAATGAAAATTTGGATTAATTTTTCGTAAAAATGACCTCCTGTTCCACTTCTAATCAGTGACATGCTCATCCATTTATTGGTAATAAAAATAACCTGTTCAAAACAATGGATAGGTGCATAAAGGGACTATAAAAACACTATGGCCCCTTGCTGTGGGTGAATTTCATTTTTTGAAGTCAATGGAAAACCAACATATATTATCCTTTTACAGTTTCACAGACGTTAAATTTTGACAAGTTCCTGTACTTCTTGACTTGTTGGGCCCTAAAGCTGACTAGTCTGCTGTATTAGAAGGGACGTGCTCTAGAATCATGGGAAGTCTTCAGTCAAGAGTCTGTATTCTTGGAGCAGCATTGGTGGTACTATTTTCCGTAACAGCCGTGTTGCTCAACGGTCTTCTCTTGATTCTGCAGTGGAAAGATCCAACGAAATCTCTGCGATCGACAGCAATGCTGTACTTCGTTTTTTTGTCTGCGTTCCATGTCCTATATGGCGCCTGCGCTGGAACAGCGGCTGCAGAGAGCTACATAACATGCGCACTGGGTGGAAGTGACTCACCCCACTTGGAAAGAAACTTTTCCAGAATATGTCTAACGTTTTTTATTCGTGCAGAAAACTTTCTCATCCTCGCTTTTGCTGTTGAACGCCTAGCAAGCATTGCCTTTCCAGTTCTCAATCGGCGAGAAAGTGATAAAACCAAAAATACTTTGTTGTGCTTGGTGTGCATCTCACTCTTCTCGTTGTCTTTTTCTGTCTTTGATATTTTTGAAGGAAAATTCTGGGTACGCCGTTTGGACGTGCATTTAAACAGTATCATTCCTCTTATAGTAAGTGTAGTTTTAACCTTCATTCTGTGGAGATCACTTCGAAAACTGCGCCTGCCATCAACAGACAAAGAAGACAACAATGGCATTTCCTCTGAGAGAACGGAAGAAAACTTAGCCTTAGCAAGAAGTCTAAAGGAACAAATGCCTCTAGCTAGGGCATTTATTTTTATAGCATCGCTGTACTCCATTTCTGTGATTACCTACTTCGTTATTTCATTGATTGAAGTGTATTGTTCGGAGTGTTGGAGAAGGGAATGGTTTTTTGCGGCACTAAGATTTTCAATCGCGATGCACTTTATGCATTTGTCAGTCAGCCCACTGGTTTGTTTTGTTTTTCTACCGAACCTTCGAGCAAGATTCAGAATCATGTTTTGCGGCAAACGAGGAGAAGAACAGATCGAAATGGAAAATCTCCATCACAATAATAAGAAGCTTGGAACTGTTCCTGTTATATACCTCTAACCCTCCAAGCTATACGTAATGCAAATATTCCAAATCTTCATTGCTGATTTACCTTCGAGGATAGTTGCTGTAAAGACCACGACTCTTTCTATATAGTTCTCGTAACTCTAGATGACCTTTGTGTACGAGTTATCAAACAGTGATTTCAATCAGAAGTCGGTTATTTCTAGGATTTTATGGGTGAAAGATTAATTTGAAAAACTGTGGCAGTCTATATAACTATTAGGTAATTCAAGAGACCATGAAGAGAAACGTGAAAATGGCATATTTTTCAACCTTGGCGGTCTCTGAAGCATGTAAAACGTGCAAGACGCCTAACGTTTTCCTTTCTCGTTGTAAACTGGAATGAATTCTTTGGGTTTTCGTCCCCACTTGACAAATTTAGGGAGTTGTAATGATCGCGATAAAGTTTTAACGAACGCGAATGCGCTTAGTCTATAAGTGTTGTTTCTGCTGCTGTCGCCGTAGACTCCTTGATTTAGTAACCCTTCCCGGGGTTTAAAGAGTGAATGAATGTTTGTCTATCGAAAATTCCATAAGTATTAAAGTTCATCGTCAGAGCACCTCCACCGAACCATTTTCAAATACGGCCGCACCTCGTTTATGGACACCGTGCAATACGGACACCTCATTATAACAGACAGTTTTCTTTGTCCCTTGCAAAGAAATCTCATTATTACGAATCCCTTACATTTTCTCTATATTCAACCCCCTTAACACAGACATCGTTAATGCGGACAACGGACACTTTTCTTGCTCAATCATCAGATTCTCATAGAACGTCAACCTCACTCGTGCTGACACTTTATTCGAGTGCGGTAACAAACCTTTCCTTAGCGATGTTCAAAGCGCTACAGTACATCTGGACTGGGATCTGTTGTGGACATCAGTGTTCTATCTAGGACTTATCGATTGGGAGAGACGTCCTGAGTGGCCGAAGGCCACAAGGTTCTTAGGGGGTCTGGGGGTATGCCCCCCGGAAATCTTTTGAAATGAATATGCGCTGAGATGCAATGTGGTGCATTTTGCGACACAATTTTGAGAAATGTTACAGTGTGTGCACTGATCTCGTCGAATCTGGATGATTTTTCCGATATAGTTCCTTGTATCCTGTAATGATAAAAAATATTTTTTTTGACAGGGGGGGGGGACTGGGCATTTTTTTGGGGGGGAAGTTTTTACCCCTCAAATACCCTAGAAAGAACCCTGGACATCAATTTCAGACCTTTTGAAATCAGCTATACAGAGAACGCTTTATGATTAAGAGTAATGTGTAAATGAGTGACTTCTTAGTGTTCCATAGACTTATGTCCTGTTTAAGTTTGCTAAATAAATCATCTGTATAAAAAAACAAGCCCTTGTGGAGTTTTAAATCATAAAAATTTGGATTTTGTCAGAAACGTCAACCTTTTTGTTGTTTCCTTCATCTAGACAAAATGAGGCAAAAAAGGTGTTTTTGAAAATTCTATATCGAAAGAAGGCCCTTATATATTTTTATATACAAACATGGACTTAAGAAAGTCGCAAATATGCATTTTTTCCAAAGGGTTTAGTCCATGGTTTTTCTCAAGAACTTGAAATTTTTTTCTATGAATAGTAATTTAGCCTTTCTAAACTCTAAAAACATCGATTTAGGAAAGTCGGGAAATTTGCCTTTTTTCAAAAGGGTCCATGGTTTTTTTGTCAAAACTCTGAAATTTCCGTATCCTTTTTTCAGTCAAATTGAGGAAGGAAAAAGGGTTCGGGTAAGTTCTATTTAGAAAACAAGCCTTTCTAAACGTTGATTTTAGAAAGTCGTTCATGAACGTTCTATATCAAAAAACCCCATTCGAGACTTATAGAAACATAAACTTAATTTACATTTTTCCAAAGGGGTTAGCCCATGGTTTTTGTCAAAAATTTGAAATTTTTTTATTCTTTCTTTTTAGGCAAAATGAGCCAAGAAAAAGTGTTTATGAACGTTTTATATCGAAAAAATGCATTTCCAGACTACAAAAAGATATGATTTAAGTAGGTCACAAATCTTGCATTTTTTTCAAAACGGCACGTCCATGGTCGTCAAAAAATTGAAATGTCTTCAGCCTTTCTTTCCGTCAAATTTGGCGGGGAAAAAGTGTTGGCTACCTTAGCTTCTATCCAGAAAACAAGCCTTCTTGACTCTAGGGTGCGTGTTAAGTTCAGTCCTTGGCCTTCTTCAAGCAATTTTCGTTTGATGTAAGTGGAAGTGCACTTATTCAAAACTGCATCTCTTATCTGGTAGCTGCTTTCCTTAAGCGAGTGGCAAACTGTTGAACTGTCTCACCTGGGTTTTGCGTGATCTGATTAAAGGTCTGGCGGGCGAATGTTGAATTTACCTGTGGCACGAAATAGGCGTTGAGAGCGTCAACAGCACTGGCGTAATTTGTAGCATCCCCGGTTTCAGTTAAGGTGGTAAATATCTCCTGTACATCAGGCCCAGCCAGGTGGAGTAACATTGCTCTTCGCCTCTGTTTAATTGCTGCTGTGGTTCCTTCACTTATAATAAGCCCTTTCGCGTCGGTGTACAGTTCAAATGAAGGTAATCACCTCGTCCATCGGGGCCCAGTCGTCGCTGGATCAGAGAAACAATCAAACTTCGGTAACACGCACTTTTCCATTGTTTTGTCCTCGTCGCCAATGTAGTGATCCCAAGAGTAATAAAGTATCCAAAAAAACAGATTTAACTCAACCTATCAAAAGCACATGGTTTTTCCTATTCCAGCATACTTAGCGGCCTAATACATTACAGCACACAAAATATGTTTAAAGAGTTTCATGCATATTAGACGGCAAATATTCCTGGTAGTGCAAACGTCCGTCAGAGCATTTGAAGTAAATTACTTTCACATAACGTAAACGCATCATAGTGGCAACCAGCGACAGGTTTTTAAAGGCGCCCTATGAAGCCACATAGGGGCAAATATTATTCGCTGAGTTAAAATATGGGATTTTTTTTATTTTTAGGTTCGGGAAAAAATAATCTTAAAATAACTTTTGTGGATCTTTTTGATAGAAAAGAAAGATTTCTAGCCTATGAAAATAGGCACTTCAGATAGTCGCATTTTTGCATATTTTCCAAAGGGGTGAAACTATGCTTTTAGTCCGAAAAATGCCTTTCTTTTTCTGTTTGTAAGCAAAAATGATCTTGGAATAATGTTTGGGGATCTTTTCGATAGAATAGAATGATTTCCAGCCTATAAAAATATGCACTTCAGATCATCGCATTTTTGCATATTTCCCAAAGGGGTTAACCCATGATTTTATCAAAAATGCATTTTTTTTTCATTTTCTGTTTTTGCGCAAAAATGATCTTGAAATTCTGTTTGGGTGTCTTTTCGACAGAAAAGAATCGTTTTAAGCCCATAAAAACAACCACTTCAGATTGTTGCATTTTTGCATAGTTTCCAAAGGGGTTAACCTATTAGACGATTTTGGTCACAAAATGGCATTATTTTTGGTTTTGGGCAAAAGAGGATTGAAATCATGTTTGGGGATCTTTTTGACAGAAAAGAATGGTTTCTAGCCTATAAAATATGCTCTTCGGATAGTAGCATTTTTGCATATTTTCCAAAGGGGTAAACCTTTGATTTTGGTAAAAAAATGGCATTTTTGTTCCTTTTCCGTTTTGGGACGAAAATAATCTTGAAATAAATAAATGTTTCTTTTGGAGAGAAAGCAATCGTTTCTAGGTTATAAAAATATGCACTTCAGATATTCGCATTTTTTCATATTATCCAAAAAGGTTAACCCATGAGTTTGGTAAAAAAATGAAATTTTTTTGTTTCCTGTTTTTGGGCAAAATATCTTGAAATAATGATTGGGGATTTTTTCGACAGAAAAGAATGATTTCGAGGCTTTAAAATGTGGACTTAAGTAAGTCACATTTGTTCCAAAAAATGGCATTTTTTACCTTTTCTGTTTTGTTTTCAAAAATGATTTTGAAACAATGTTTGGGGATATTTTCGAGAAAAGGATGATTTCTAGCCTATAAAACTGATATGCACTTCAGAGAATCGCATTTTTGCATATTTCCCAAAAGGGTTAACCCGTGATTTTGGTCAAAAAGTAGCATATTTTCATTTTCTGTTTTTGGGGAAAATGATCTTGATATAATATTTGGGGATCTTTTAGATCGAAAACAATTATTTCTAGGCTATAGAAATTCTTATTTTAGATAGTCGCAGTTTTGAATGATGTTAACCCATGATTCTGGTCAAAAAATGCCATTTTTTTCTTTTTCTGATTTTGGGCAAAAATAATCTTGAAATAATCTTTCGGGATCTTTTGGAGAGAAAACAGTAGTTTCTAGGTTATAAAAATGTCCACTTCAAAGAATCGCATTTTCGCATATTTTCCAAAGGGGTTAATCCCTGATTTTGGTCAAAAAATGACATTTTTTTCATTCTGTGTTTTTGGGCAAAAATGATCTTGATATAATTTTTGGGGATGCTTTCCATAGGAATGGATGATTTCTAGTCTATAAAAATATGCACTTCAGATAGTTGCCTTTTTGCATATTTTCCAAAAGGGTTAAACCATGATTTTGGTCAAAAAAATGGCATTTTTTTTATTTTCTATTATTGGAAAAAAAATCTTCTTGAAATAATGTTTAGAGATGTTTTCGATGGAAAAGAATTATTTCTAGCCTATAAAAATATGCACTTTAAGTAGTCGCATTTTTGCATATTTTCCAAAGGGGTTAACCCACGATTTTGGTCGAAAAATGGAATTTTTTTCATTTTCTGTTTGTGAGCAAAAATGATCTTTAAATAATTTTGGGGGGTCTTTTCGATAGAGAAGAATGATTTCTAGCCTATAAAAATATGCGCTTTAGTTACATGCATTTTTGCTTATTTTCCTATGATATCGGTCAAAAAATGGCATTTTTTTCTTTTAATAACCTTGAAATGATGTTTTGGAAAACGATCATTTTTAGCCTATAAAAGGTGTAATTTTAGATAGTCGCATTTTTGCCTATTTTC